TGTGTGTGTGTGTGTGTGTGTGTGTGTGTGTGTGTATAGGGTTTGCGCATGTGGCGAGACAAGGTAAGATTATTGTTGATGTACGTATGGCGAGACAAGACGGGCATTTACTTTATTGTTGCGCACGCGGCGAGACAAGGGGCTATGTGGGGATGATATGTGATGGCCTGGAGGCATATTATTGGTGATATTCTTGTGGTGGTGTGACTTCCTTGTGTCTGTCATGCATAATACGTGATTTGATGTGTTGTTTTCAATGTGCTACTTGATGTCTCTGATATTACTTGTTGATTTGAGCTGTGATAGTACCCTTGCACATGCATAACGTGCCATTTATACTATTCTAGGAGTATGAAACATGATGCTCATTGAACATGTATATGTATTCTTGTGTATTTTCTTTCTCTGCGATATGGTTGGACTGGTATCCCATGACCACGCCGGGCGGTTTGGGATAATGAGCATGTGACCATGCCGGGCGGATTGAGATATTGAGTTTGTGGCCACACCGAGCGGATTACGATACTGGCACATGAGTTATCCGTGCGGTTGTGATTGATAATGTGGGCACGAGGTGCCATGTGTATATGATTCACGATTTGAGACTCGTGATTTGAGATTAGGAGTTGTGGTACCTCGGGGTGATTCTTGTTGTAAATCTTATGTCGGAACGTTTTGATAAATAGAACTGTCGTTGTTTTTCCCTTATTTGCTTTCACTTGTATTCTAGTGGTGCTTTAATTACTTTGCTGCTTTATCACATGATTACCTTCATTGCTATTTATTTACTTTACTTTACTATTGTTAGCTTTATATTAATATTCAACAGCATAAATTATTGAATTTGTGAGTGTCTTGACTTGAACTTCGTCACTACTCTACTGAGGTTAGTCTTGATACTTACTAGGTACCACTGTGGTATACTCATACTATGCTTCTGCACAATTTTGTGCAGATCGAGATACTTCGGAGCATGTCGGACGTTAGATAGTTGTTTGAGTTGCTGATGAGACTTCAAGGTATACCTGCCAATCCGCTCACAGCCCTTAGAGTCATCTTCTGTTGTCTTTCTTTACTACTGTTTACCTTCATTCTAGAACAGTATTGTAATTAGATATTTCTATTAAACTCAGTAGAGCTTATGACTCTGTTAGAGCTTATAACTCCATACAGTTTTGGAAAAATGTATAACTACTGATCATTTTTAGCTATGTATGTCATTTACTAGTTTATATTTAATGGTTAAATGGTTTAATTTGTTAATAACCCATCCTATATTAGGCTTACCTAGTTCTAGGGACTAGGTGCCATTACGGTACTTGAGGTGGGATTTTGAGTCGTGACAAGAAATTAATTACATCTAAATGCATGAAGTCAATATTATCTTTGGAAATAATATTTGCTTCAGCATTTTTCTGTCTTCTTTAGGGAGGCTTGATAGAGCTCAACCAGGTGCTTTGGTGTACGACATGTATGTGATCAATGCCTTATTCGTCCACATCTATAGTATGCGTGTTCTGTCATTTGCACTACTTCATATTTTCATTCCTTCCTTTTCCATTACTAATGGTGAAGGTGATTCTTTGGTGAATTACGACCACTATTAGAGCTTATTCCCCGACCACGGCCATGATCATGACTGGGGCACGACCTTTTCCACGCTTAGCTTGGTGAAAATTTGTCTCATTCACTTTAAGAAATGGAGTAGAACCAGTAGGTCGACTCTCATGGTTTTTCATTAATAGCTTATAATGTTGTTCAGCCACAAGAAGATGTGAAATTAGTTCAGAATATTTCTTGAACCCCATCTCTCAATATTGCTAATGTAGGAACATATTCGAGGCATAGAAGGTGGAGAAAGTTTTCTTCAACATATCATATTCAGTGAGATTATCTCCATATAATTTCAATTGAGAAATAATTTTAGACATAGCAAAATTACTCACTGATAGATTAAAAAATTGTAGACTTAAATGAGTCTAATCATAATGTGCTTGTAAAAAAAAGACTATCTTCATGTGGTCATACCTATCTTTCAAATTATTCCACAACATAAGTGAATCTTTAATAGTAGAGATATTTTATTTTCAAGACTTTATCAAGGTAATGACGTGAGGGAATATCATTGCTTTAGCAAGGTCTTGGTTTAATGCTTGGGTTTTATCTTTGATGGTATTTTCCAGACCCATCGTATCAAGATAAATTTCAGCATCAAGCACCCAAGACAGGTAGATTTTGCCTGATATATCAAGGGCTACAAATTCAAGTTTAAAAAGATTTGTCATTATTTAGGAAAAGGATAGTTTGTACCTTGATACTTTAAAAGTATTTGCTCGAGATGGTAGAGTCTCTTGCTGATAACATGTTATAAAATAAAGTTAAGTAAATAATAGCAGAAAAATCTATAGAGAGAGTGATATATTATTCAACTTCAAACTGATGTACACATGAATTATTTTGGCTCCCTATTTACAGAAATAAGAAAGTTGTTGCGAGACTTTTCAGGAAGCTATGCAAAGCTTTTCTGGAGTTGCTTGTAAGTTGCCTACATGAGCTACTTGTAAACTACCTGCATGAGCTACTTGCAAGTTGCTTGCTTGAGGAATCTACTGCAAAGTTTTTCAGAAGCTGCTGCAAGGATTTTTTAGAGCTGCTTGCAAGCTATCTGCATGAGCTACTTGCAGGCTGCCTACATGAGCTACTTGGAAGCTGTTTGTTTGATTGCAAGCCTCTTCATGTAACAGTAGGATTAATAATGGATATCTTCCAGCATAAGATATTTATAACATTTTCAAATATAAAGAAGTGGACTACCAAGAATATAACGCCGCATAAATGGTAGCAAGAAGAGAGTAAAAAAAGGATAAACATATAAATTGATGGAGCAAAAATACTTTTATAAAACTCCAAAAATTTGTGAAAAACTTTCCCTTGAAAGTAAAAACTTTTTTTTTTAATGCACGATAAGAAGAAAGTAGTCACTGAAATCTTCATAAAGCCATTCCGGGAAAATATTTAAAATTCTAAACCCAAAATTTTTAATGGAGTAACTTGGCATTAAGGGGGTCGTTTGATTTAAAGTCAAGTTATATGAGATTGTGATACGAAAATTAATAATATAGAAATTGTAATGCAAAAATTATTTTTTTCTCGGGTATTTTGGTTCATAGTATAAAAAGGTTAATATACAATGTTTACTGCTTGCGTTTGGCATAATATATAAAAATCAAATCACAGTTATACCCTTGAAGCACTTTTGTTGGAATTTCCTATTTCATTTCATCGACTCATGAATTACATCAGACACTGCCTTCAATAACGAGCTAGTTGATCACTGGTAAGCAATGAGATGATAAAAAAAGATTTAACCCATTTTTTCGTATTGGAGTAGCAGTGTTATACAAATAAAAGCGCGGGTTCAATTCCCGTCGTTCGCCCATAATTCATAAATATTAGATAAATGATTGGCTACAAAGAAATTTTTTTAGTGAAGTCACAAGCTTACTCCTATTTTTTTTTTGTAAAATTTTTGTAAAAATAAAAAATTTAATTTGATTTTCTCTCCTATTTACTACGGCGACGACGAATAAAATTATCACTATATTTTTCTTTTTCTACTTCTTCTTCCAAGTGCATGAGGAATATGGTACAAAATACTTGGGATTCTCCCTTCACCACCCCATGGGATGGCCGTATGGCTGACCGGCTTCAACTCCCAGACACTCTAGAAGCTTTTGGAAGGATAGTTTTCTCTTTCGGAATTTTTATCCATGTATAGTTAATTATGGTATCGTTATTATTTCCATCATGAGGAATATGGTACAAAATACTTGGCACATACTACATAAAGAGAAGTATAATTGGTAACCAAGAACGTTAAATAAAAGTAATACGGTTTTATTACCGTGATTATCTTGCTGATACATCAAACCAAACGTGCTCTAAAAAATGAGAGAGAAAACTTGAACCTAGCCATCATTCGGAAGAAAATGAGACAGAATACATGTGGTCAATTTTCATATTTCATACCCCCATCAGAAGGAAACTAAGCGGGCGCGCCAAAGGGGAGAATGAGGGGGAAGAAATTTGGTTGAAATGAAATTGTTGCTGACGGGAATGTACAAAAGGGATTTTCTAGTTATAGATAACTCATGTCAGTGAAACAAGCAAAAAGAAAAAACTAAAAATAAAAAGGTAAAGAACTAAAGAACTAAACAACTAATCAAAAAGATTCAGTTAGCACCCTGCCATCTCTGCTTTAGTTGCTGTGAAATGATTGTACGTCCCACTTTTCTTACCCATGCAAAAAAGCAAATTTCACCAATACCACCTTTTTTGACCAACCCACTTCTTTGGTAAGTGACAAAAAACCATTCAAAACACAGAGGGAAAAGTACACCACTTCAACTCTTCTCTTGTCCATTCATTTTCCCTCCACTTATATTTTCCATTATTCCATGCCAAAAATTGGGGTCTGAAATGGATTCTTTGCAGTAGTCTGGAATGAATGAAGAGAAGGTGGCATCCAATTACCAAAATTGGAGCCATCAAGAGTAGTAGTAGTGTCACTAGGAACTGAAGTTATTGTGCTACAACTACCACTTTGCTGCTGCTGGTGATAGTACCCTTCTTCATTGAATATGACTTGATTACTGTTGACTTCATTCAGAGAGGTTGTAGTAGCAGGGAGATCCATTCTGAAGAGTGTTGTACCTTGTGCTTGAATAGGCGGACCATGAAAGAACGTTGCATTTGCACTAGGGTTTTTGCTACCGTTGTTTTGATCATTAGTGTATCCGAGGATTGACCAGAAATCGGAAGCGTCTTGCTTGATGGGCAATCCGAAACCAAGGTTGACCATATTTGGAGCTTGAGACGAAATTAATGGAGCAGAGGTAGCAGAGGAAATATCTCGATCGTCTGATCGGTTTCCTTGGACATTTTTACTACTTTCAGAAGCAGCAGATTCTGATGAGGTTTTTGATTTATTGTTCATCCCTCCAACAGGGAGATTGCTACTGGCGATACTTTTAACGTCGTAACGGCTAATGTCAAAATTCGTCACTGCGTTTAGTCCTCTGAATTTGATTGCAGCAATGTCATAGGCCTCTGCTGCTTCCTCTTGGGTGCCTGTTATTTGCATTAAAATCATCACCATTAGTCTAAAGACAGACATAATTAAATTTGTTGCAAAACATCATCATCACTGACAACCTTCCCCATCGAAAAAATAAAATTCTAATGAATGAAACATATTGAACAAATTCAAGGACAAGCTAAGTTGGAAGTCTCTTAGCCAGTCAAAGCCTGAGCTAAAATACCGCCAAGAAATATTCAATAAGAGACGGTGTTTACAGTCGACCTGCAACAGAGCTATACGCGATCCAAAATCTGACACCGTAATAGCAAAATATTGGTTAAAATTCATTATTAATAGGTAAAGATTATTAACACAGTTTGTGTATAACTTAAATGTATGTACTTTTTTTCTTGATGAAACAAATTACTTGATCTACTTGTTAGCTGGTATTCGACCAGAGAAGAAGATTCTGAAAATACCCTTTTTTTAAGCGTGCTAGGCATAAGAGCCAAAAGTGTCAAAATAGAAACAACTCTAAAAATGGGTTATCAGGTAATCATTAGTTTCGGGATTGAATTAATATTGACGGTAAAGAAATTTAACTTCCTTCCCAAGTTCGCAATTCTAATTTTTTAACAAAAAATATTTGTAGTCGTTTTTCAGAGATAATTTAATTCTTTTGAGTTAACCTCTTAATTTTATTGTACCTATCATAAGCTACGGTAGTCCTATAAAAACATGTTCCAACCCCACTTTCTCGACGGTCGAGTAAACAGAGAGTAGAGACACTAGCAAATACCAGCAACAAAATCCGTGCGCAATTCAGAGGAGATCCAGCCAAAAACAAAAATAAAACTTTCATATTGTGCTGCCGCCCAAGAGACCACATAAAAATAGCCACGTATGTCATTTATTGCCAAACCTTACCTTAAGGCAGAGCCAGATAATTTGGGGCATCCACCGCCTAAGGTATCAAGTAGCAGTAAGGCAGTGTTGTTTAATGACGTGCACATTTGTTGTTTTTGTTTTTTGGATTTGGTGGAATAAACACAACTAATGGATAAGATAATATAAACAATGAATGATCTACTGACTAGACGAGCTAAATAGAGGACTAGAAATTCAGTATAAATTTGTAGAGGGCAAGAAAAAGAAAATAAAACTCACTAAAGGTTCCAAGATAGAGATCTTTGTTTCCTGCCACTCTTCCGATTCTTGCTTGCCATCTACCATGTTGGTGGTGCCTAAAATAAAATAAACCTTTGTTGAATTAGCTCCTTAATTTAACACATAAACCAGACAAAAACAACAAACAAAAAATAAATAATATTCCGAACCTTGTGACGCCTCTGTAGATGGAGGCTCCCCGTGAAAACCCACTACTTTTCCTGCATTAACAAAAAATAAGTAATATAGTATATAGGATTGGTATATAGGATTACGCAATTCTTGTGTTCAATGAGACAAGAAAAGGATTTAAAAGAAAATACAACAAAACCTTGACTTATGCAACAGATTCCTCACTGAGATAAAAGTACGTAGATTTCTCTGGAAATAACAATAACAATTTGGAGTACTAACCTTCTAAGAGAAGCAACAAATTCCTGCCTTGTCATGCTCTTCATTTCTTCCAGCTCCTTCTCATAGTTCAATACCTTGAAATAGATCACGACTTAAATCTCAATGTAGAGGAAATAAGAGAAAGTAATTAGAAAATTCTTTCTTTTCCCTTCTGAAATTTGGTTCCAAATTTCAATACCGGAGAGTTAGTGGTGGTGGTCGGACCCCAATACTTGAGAGCAGCAAGATCATAAGCTCTAGCTGCTTTCTCTTCTTTATCATAACCACCTAATCATAGAAAGATGTAAAAGAATATAAGGATATAAAAAATCTTATGTAAAGTTTTAGAAAATAAGAATCCAATGAGAATCTAAGCCTTAACACGTACACATTCATTGCAAAAAAAGAATCTTCTGTAACACAGTAATACTAAATGAATGAATTTGGATAATGGAGATTTCAGTACTCACCTAAGTAAACTGAAATTCCGCAATGATGATTTTAATCGTCCAGAGCCACAATCATTTGGTGGTACCATATTGAGAGAGAGAGGGACAAAATTAATCCATATTCCTCATTGTGCATATCATATCATATACTACAATCTTTGTTTTTGAAGATTCACTTCAAATCTAGAGATAATTTTCCATCGGTAAAGAGAAAAATTATATGTTACTAGTATTTATCATATACTTTCATGTTGAAACAAATAAAATCTTCAAATTTTACGATATTTGGATGACCTTACAAAAATAAAAAAATTTAGAAGAAATTAAACTTATTAGTAGAACTCTTCACTCAAATGATAAGCTTTGCAACAGAAAGGATGTTGCCGGAAACCTAAAATGCATACCTTGCCTTCCTTTTCTACTTTGTCCTTCTCTTCTGCAACTATTATCCCACAAATGAGCTTCATATCTTCCTGTCCATCTATGTCTACGCACATCCCGAAAAGAAAGCACAAATCATATAAAATAAAGAGTATATCTAAATCCATTAATCAGTTCCAAAAAGAATAAAAACCCTTAATGTAAGTCTTTAATTTTATATATATATATATATATATATATATATATTCACCTAGTAACACCTCTGTAAATAGAGGTGCGTTGTCCAAAGGTCTCGACCGACTTCTTAGCCGGCGGCAGCGCCACCACAGCCAACTGCTTATTCTGCGAATTATTCTGATCAGCAGAAAAGCTACGTAGAAAACTAGCGGCTATGGTCTTCAGCTCGTCAGTACATTTTCCATTTTCTTCCACTCCACCTATACGTACAAAATCACATCCATACTTGTTGATCAGTCTTTACAACAAATTAAAAAACTGAACGATATCAGATCATTTAAAAGACAACTACATATACCAGAAAATTAAAGTAATTAAATCGCTAAAATAGGTTAAAACACTTGTCAATCTTTTTTACATATAGGGTATATAGGCATATAGAGTAAAAAGCTATAGTTTCATGAGTGCAATTAATAGTAAGTACTGTAATAAGAACCCTAAAGGTTGATGAGTCAGACCCATCAAATTTAAACTTGAATCACTTTATAGTTAAGTGTATACTATAGGTTAAATCTTATACTATTCATATATATATAGCTCAAATGTTTATTATAAGATCTCTATGCGTGTAGAGATTTATATATACACAGAGATCTTACATGTAACCTATTGGTACATGTAGGATCTTTGTGAAAGAGATGTCGAAAATAAAGAAGAGTGAAGTAGGGAATAATACTATTAGGGTTGGAGTTGAAAGCTTGGAAGAGGCAAAGTTCTGAAGCATTATTAGAAGGCAAGTTAATGCTGCTATTGTTGTTGGCGTTACTGTTGTTGCTGTTGATATTGGAAAGTGAGAAGCCAAGCCAGTTCTCAGAAGAAGAATCCATATCCATTATCGTCGGTGAACGTGAAAGACTTTCTTTTTTCTTTGGAAAACAGCGCTATGCTTACTAAACACTGCCCGCTCTAGTTATTTTGTTTTCCCAAGAACTGATTGAAGATTTAACTGACTGGAAATTACACGCTTAAATCTATGTGAAAGAGTAAGACATTAATATAGAGATATTATCTGTGTTAGATAGATGGGTAGAGAGAGAGATAACTATGCACGAGAACCGAGGCGTCTCTCTTGTGGGGATATACTAAATGGTTGAAAGATAATAATTTCTGTTCATATTTATTTAATTTGTTAAGGTGAGATTAAAGAGTTTTTTTCACATTGACTAACGTTGAAAGAGAAAGTAAAACAACGGACACTTTGCCAATTATTTTATAGCGCGAATTTTCTACATGAATTAGTCGAGCTAATATATAGAATGATCGAGACTGAGGATTACTACTTGTAGATTGGAGACAATATTGTCTAAATAGAAAGAAAAGAAAATTAAAGTTAAGTACAATATAATGATCTCTGAAGTATTGCTTCATCACAATCCCATTAAGTCAAATGCTAAGACTTTTAACTTAGTATCAGAGTTTTGCTACGTCACTTTAATCCAGTTCAAAATCATGAGATTTTGGGCATAAATGTGTCTAGCAATTGCGTTCTTTCTAGTTTAGAAATAGTACTTCAGATACGAACGACGAAAGAAATGATTACAAACAAAAGACACGAATATTTTGGAGTTAAGCTGATCAATTATCGCTAATTATGCTCATAGTTCGAGGAAAGAAAATGTTAGCGCGATTTATGAAACTAAAAGATAGTATTTATAACATAATATAGTTGAAAACCTAATCTATCCTCGTGTCAACAATCGCTTGAAGATAAGTTGAATTAACGTCTATCATGCATGTTAATGACATGACAAATTAATTCTGATCTAAAGTTGAATGCGCTAAACAGAATAATCTGTTTTCATATTATTTTTTTTTCCTCATTTGTTAATGCAGTGTTGCAGTCTGTACAGTGCATGAATGTGAAAACAAACAAATAATGCAGAGGAAAGCAAGTGGAAGGATATTATGGAATGACTGGGCGGTTTCTCTTGTATGTCTCTTGACCGAAGAAAGCGAAAACTTTATTAGGAGGAAAAAGAGTTTTGAGACAAAAGGAGAAAAAGATAAAGGAAAAGGGAAGGCATAAAGAACAACAATGGGATGAGGGAGAATGTGTAAAAAAAGATTGCGTGTATGTGGGGAAGCAAGAGGGAGGAGAAGGGGACACTAAGGACGAGTAGTAAATGATTTCATTTGGTCCCATTGTTTAACGCGTGTCTTTTCTGATTATTTTGTGTACATATTCATTCTTTCATCAGTGCGTCGTCTACTCCCTGTTTGTTCTCCCTCCGTTTTAATTTTTTTGACCGTGTTGGACCAGATACGAAATTTAAGAAAAAAATAAGATATTTAGAATTTGTGATTTTAAATAAGTTAAAAAATAGTTCAGAGTATTTGTGTGGTTATAAAAGTTTTTTATTAAGGATAGAATTATAAATTTAAGTAAAATTATTTTTAAATTTAGAAAGGGAACATTCTTTTTGAAACGGATCAAAAATAAAATAGGTTCATGAAAGAGGGAGTATAAGTTGAAAGAGCGCAAAGGGATTGGAGACAAGAATAGGAAAATTTAGAGATGTATAAAATGTTAGGATTAGAGTAAAACACTTGTGTATAATTAGTATTTGGGAAAAGGTCCAAGTATGTCGTTGAAGTATTTAATTTATTTTATGTTTATCCTCTTTAATTTTTATCTTTACTCTCGATCCATAGAGATGACGCCCCAAATCTGGATGAGGCGGACTGTTACCCGATGCCTTGACTTGAACGAGTGAACCGACTTATCATATCTCTTATAACAAATTATATGAACATGGAACATTTGCAAAGAAAAGATAACAGCATACTTCTATAAAGAACTGTCTGTATATAACAGAAATTGAGGATTTAAATACAAAAGATTAAAACATAACTCATTAAAAACTGAGTCATATCATCTATACATATCTGAAAGCGTCAACATATGTCTATGAAATCTCTAGGATAATCTAAAATTGTAAACGTGTCGGGATAGGGACCCGACCTACCCAAAACATCTATATACATAACAAAATTCTAGACTCAATCTCAGGTAGTAAGTGAGGCTCACCAACTGTAGCTGAAGCGTAGCCACTGCCTAGAGCGAGGTGTCATACCTTATTTTTCGAAGATGGGCAAAAGAGTTTTTTCAATTAAAATGACATTATTTGAAAAAGGATTATTTTGATTTTTTTTAAGAAGTCACTTGAAATTATTTGATTTCGATTTTCCAAGTCACCAATTTTAAAATCCCAACTCATTTGACTCCATTTATGGTCGAACATAGAAGACCGGACAAAGAATTCTGTTAACCGGGAAGAAGGTGTAAGGCACTCACCGAGTTTTGGGTTTAAACACAGTCGCTTAACAATTTAAACTCGACTTAATTAGTCCGATTATTTCATATTTTAGGGATTTTATGTATTTTTCCATTATCCACTTTTAAAACTACTTTTATTGTTTATTAGCGGATTTATGGAATTTATATTGAACAAGTACTGTGAATCGTACCCGTGTTGCAATTGTATATAAAAACATCATGCTACGCACACGTACCCATGATTAATGACACTTTATTATTGTTTGAAGTTAATTGGTCAAGTCGCATGAACGATGTAACGATCCGACTGATCGTTTTGAGTATTAGCTTTCATTTCTGTGTTTCGAGACTTTTCATAGCTCTATTTGAATATTTCTGACTTGCGTGCGTGGTCCATGTCGATTTCCAAAAAAATTAAATGTGAATTTTTAAAGAAAATGTGACTTTTATTTTAAAAATGACTAGAGTTGACCACGGCCAACGTTTTTGGTAAACGATCTCGGATCGGTGTTTTGACGATTCCCGTAGGTTCGTATGATGATTTTGAATTTGTACGTATGTATGGATAGGGTCCCGGGTGACCCAAGGCCGTTTCAGCGCATTATGTGAAAAGTTGAAAAATGAGTTTTTAATTTGAAATTCTTGAGTTTTGATGAGCGATTCTTGATATATGATGTTATTTTGATGATTTGAAATAGCGAACAAGTTTGTATGATGTTATTACACTTGTGTGAATGTTCGAATTGGAGCCCAAGGGTCTCGGGTGAGTTTTAGATGGGTTGCACAAGGTTTTGATAATTGAAGGCATTTTTTGGTGTTGCTGAACAGTAGGTCTCGCAATTGAGAGAGCCTATTCGCAAATGTAATCCTCGCATTTGTGATTTCAGGATCGCATTTGCGATATTGGGCATGGCTTGGGGGACTTCGCAATTGCGAAGTCAGTGACCGCATTTGCGATCAACACATCGTCATTTGCGACATATGCTAGGCTATTGCGAAGGCAGACTTGCTTTTGCGATATGGGGGCTCTTTGCAAAAGTGACTATTTTGTTGCAATTGCGATAACAGAGTAGCTAGGACACTGATCGCATATGCGATAAGTGATTCGCTTTTGCGATAGTCGCAATTGCAAACAAGAATTCGCAATTGTGACATCTGCAGCTGGGTAAAAGTTGGAAATTTCGCGACTTAACTCATTTTGCATCATTTTTTAACCCTAAAAATCATAGAGGCGATTTTCGAAGAGGAATTTCTTCCCAAATTCATTGGTGAGCAACTTAATCTTGTTTTCAATAAATTTCAATTATTGTTTCATAAATTTTATCATCAAATCTAAGAATTTCAAAGTAGAAATTGGGGGTTTTGGGTCTAATTTAGGGATTTTGAAAAATTAAAATTTATACATCAAAGTGAGGTCGAATTTCGAAACAAATCATATATCTGGGCTCAGGGTGAATGGGGATATAGTCTTAATCTCGAATTTCGATCACGTGGATTAGGATTGACTTTTTTGACCTTTTAAATTTAGTTAAAAATTAAACCTTTTCATTCGTGGGTAGTTTCTAAAGCTTGTTTTGAATTATTTAAATGATATTTGACTAGATTCGATTGGTTTGGAGGCTTGTTCTAAAGGAAAAGCCATTTTTGGATTGTTGATTGTATTCCGCAAAGAGGTAAGTGTCTTGCTTAGATTTATTGATAAAACTTTTCGAATAAATGATATTATTTGCTACATACGGAGGTGATGCATATATGAGTTGACAGGAGTATATACATGTGCCAGGGTTTCCATGCTCGGGAGGAGGAATTATATGCTTCTTTGTGCTTTGTTGAACTTGGTGATCCCTCGATTTATGTTTCACTTAATTCTATGACTGGTGAATTTTATTATCTGTATTAGAAATCATGTTAGAACGTAAGACATCTTAAAAGGATTTAATGCACCATTTTTGAGATTGTTTACATACTTAACTTGATCGTAGTATCATAAACACATATCTATACATGTTAGTGCCATGTTACTTGAGCTTCTTTATCCGTAATAAGAGATGATGATTGGGGCCTTAGATAAATCTTTGGCACGTTAGGTATTTTCATGCAGTTGATATGATGTTAGCACGAAAAGTATTTTCGTGCGGTTTGAAATAAGATTGGTCTGTTGGTTCTTTTCGTGCGAAAAGAAAGGAATATGGGATTTTCTTTTATGATTACTCGTTCGTTAGACATATACATGCACTATACCTTGGTTCCCACCTATGTCTTATGTTTGTATGTTACTTTCACGCATGTGTTCTTTTTGTAGATTCTCTCTATGTTTCCTATTTGGTCTGTGGTTATCTTATCTATATCCCCACCATGTCTATTATTGTTACATCCACGCTTTTACTTGAGTTACTACTGCTACATGTCCTTACCTAATTTATGCCTTTACTTGTTACTAGTTATTACATGTTACATGCCCTTAATTCTTATATGATTTACTTGTTAGATGCCTTAACCTGTTGCATGCCTTCATTTACTACAAGCCTTCACTTACTATATGCCTTTACTTACTACATACCTTTACTTACTATATGCCTTTACTGGCTACATGTATCCACTTGTTACATGATTTCACTTATTAAACGCCTCCATTTGATACCTGTTTTTACTTGCCAAGCATTTGTATTCGTTTCATGCCCTACTCTTTTTTGCTTAGCCGGATTGGGTGTATTTTAGATCGGTTGTATGTTTATGCTTCGTGGAAGACTTTTCATTATATATGGGATACTAGCTCT